CTATCCCTCTTCTGGGAATATTCTGAAAGAGTTGAAGACATTCTACTGTAGTGAGCCATGCAAACCCATGTTTCTAGAAGCACAATTCACAAAAGCTAGGCTCTGCAAACAGTCTAGCTGCCCATCACCAGACGAACGGGTACAGAAAATGTGGTATATATGCCCACAACAAAATACTATTTAGCCACAAAGAAGAATGGAATCATGCCATTTGCTGGAAAATGGATGGAACTTGTGTCCTATGTTTAGTGAAGTAAGACACACAGAGAGTTAGACATTACCTGGTTTCTTTTAAATGAGAAAGCTAAATCGTATGTGGAAGAGTGAATTAAAGGAGAGATGAAAGGAAATAAAAAGGCAGACTTTTCAGACATGTGGAAGGGGATCAGGGGAGGGAGAAGGAAAGAGGAGGGAATGGGGATGAAAAGTGATCACAGTATACTATACACATGGACCAGGTCCCCACAACCAGTGTAGCTATGGTATATTGCAAAAACACTAATAATAAAAGTAGAAAAAAGTCAATGTGTACAAAAGGTGATAGGAGGGGGCTGCCGGGACTAAAGAAATGTGGTTTCTTATGTTTATTGAATTTATCAGGCGGAAAAACAAAAACCAAGTATAACAAAGCCTATGTACAAAGATGACAAGGACAGCAGTTTGTATGTATGTGCGTGTGTGTGTGTATGCACATGTGCGTGTACATGCACATACACGTCTCTGCATTCAGAGGGGTATTTATGATTGGGATGTAATTACTGATGTGCCCATTCTGCTATCGTTGTCTTTGGCTCACGGAAGGGAGTGAAAGTGGAGGAGAGCTTGGGCCTTTCCTGCAGCACCTTCCTTGCCAGGACCCAGGAGACCCTTTCTCTGGCAGCTGCAAACCAAGCTTCCAGCAACCACAAAGCTAGATACTGGGTACCAGAGTTTCTTCTTTGTTTTTGGAGAATAAAGCACTTTCTAGATGAGTTATACTTCTCCAAAACATTGAACTTCTGGATTAGTTTTAAATATCTTATACTATTGGAGGCAAGAGTATTTGGTCAATACAGCGTGTTTCACTGGAAATCACTTAACATGGACACAACAGATATTTTGATAATTTTCTAGCTAAAAATAAATTTCTAAATAAGATGTATTGAAATACTTAATACATGAAAACATGGCAAATTTAAAGACTGAATTAAAACAAGATGCAAACTCACTTTGCTTTCAGAAAAATCACTGTAGCTTATTCTCTGAAATCGATGGTATGATCTAGACACTGAGCACAAGCTCTTCTCCTTGCCCTTTGACTCAGTAAACCCAGACTCTAGTGAGACTAGAATCTTCTGTCCCAGGCATTTTTAAGGTACAATATGTGAAAATAAGAGGCTACAGGTGCAGGTGCTTGAAAAACCACACTTGATATGGGAGTTTACAGATGGGAAGCCCAAGCAAGGGTGGGAGTGTCCATGCTCCAAATCCCGACACCCATGCATCCGTGAATCCATTGGTTTGTCCCATCTAAATGAGGCAGTAGGACAGGGAAGAGGGGGGTTCAACATGGCTTCACACTTTGTTGGTGAGTGTGGTGTGTGTGCCAGCTGCACATACCTGACACAAGAAGGGGTTCCCACTATTCAACTGGGCTTCTGCAGGAGTAAATGTGACATGAGCACAGACACCCAGTTCCCGCACGCGGTGGAAGGCCACCCTGTCACCCATGCCAGTCAGCATGGCAACCACAAGGTCAGTGAAATCATATTCCTTAGCACCGGGCAGAAAAAGAAAATTCAACGTAACCATAATGCTTTATTTTTCTTTAGACTTCTATCCATCTTCATAAAATATTTTCTTTTAGCTGTGGAAAAGTCTAGCTGGAGAACTGACCAGCAGCAGGTTAAACTGAAACATTATCATTGCTGAAGGTCTTTCCCCGCTGTCTGCAGACTGCTTTTCCATTACACTCGAACAGAAAGAGCTCTTTCTCCATTCAGTCGGCAAGAGTCATACTTTTACTAAAGAAGCCGGAAAAACCCCTCTAAATCTATACTGTCATTCATAAAAAATGACTTCCATATAAGCATCATCATATTGCAGATGGAGACCTTTTCTGTAAAGTGATACGCAGGACGTTAGTCAGACTTGGAAACAGGAAAGCCAGAAGCGTACTATGGAACTAACATCTAGACCTGTCTCTGGTGGGGAAAGTATTATAGCCTATGATAATCACGTCTCCCTGTCACTCATGTTCCTGAACAGTCAAACATTAATATACAGAAAAACAGAATTTTTCCTTTCACTTTTTTTCCCCTGAAGTATCAAAATTAATGTAAATTATGCCTTTTTTAAAATTAGAAAAGTCACTCAGTGAGATGGCAAGCAACATGAACAGTTAACATTTTTAATTATTAGGGTTCATTAAGATATTTCTAAATGCCTTTAAAAATTATACCTTAAATTTTCTAAATCATATCATAATAAACTAAAGCACATACTTTGAAAATATAACAAATGTTACTGGAAGTCTCTTGTATAGTGTGTTTCATTATTCAGAATATTTTATTAAGTGAAAGTGAACTAACCAAATTATATAGAGGCAGCTGGCATAATGTTAAGAAGATTTTAGTAAAAATAAGTCCCAGTGTCAACAATCAGAGTTCAGAAATCACGCTCTAGTCCAACCAACAGATTGTTAAACTTCTTCAGATTACTTGTACCCTAGACCTTAAGAAGCTAAAAATATGTAATTTACATATATTAAAATATTCATGTCCCCACTACACGTTGCTCATGGGCGTGTGAAATCAGGCATTACTCCGTCATTTCTGCCTGATGAGATCATTTTGGTTTCCTTAAAAGTGTTATGCCAATAAAATTACTTTTTCCAGGAAATACGTTTAGTTTTTAATTTGAAAGAAACATATTTACAACGACCAGTCCTGGTTTGTTGAATTACAGATATGTATAAAGTGAAAGACTGAAATAAATATAAGCAGATATTTATTTTTAAAACATTATGCAAATGAAGAGCAAATAAATATTCCCAAAGACAGAGTCTAAATGAACCTTTCATCAATACCTTAGTTGATGCCTTTGTACTATTCTCAAGTAAAATAACTTAAAATAACTTCTGCAAGACTATAAACTTAGTTTCTACACTATGTTTTACCTACTTAGTGAACTACATTTTCAATCTCTTTTCTACTTTGCCTCTGGTAAGAAATAGTCCTCATGCTAAAAACAGAATCTGATATTTCAGTGATTACACAGACTACTAGCTATTCTTTTTTCTTTTCTTAATTTGAATTTATGAAAAAATCTTTAAATTAGAACTTTTAATATGTTTATTATTTTGGTCTCTATATACACCAATATGAATGTCAATTAAAATCTGGTTGCATTACATGAAAAGTGAGTTTGGAAGTTTTCTGGTTTATGTTTATACCAAGTTATTTCTTTGTCTAACATCTTATTTTCCACAACATAGTTTTTGCACTGTATGGGTCAACTGGTATTTTTAAGAAGGTAGAATTTTAAAACAATAGCAAATTGCTTCCAATTTCTTCTTGATAGGTGTCATTACTACCCATTAACAACAAGAGTAACTGAGTTGTACTCAAAACAAAATATCAGCCTACTCTGGATCTTTAGAAACCAATGGAAAGTTAGGAAAGAAATTTTAATAGACTAGTAAAATATGGAATTTTTTGTGCTGCTTTCTCACGAAGTGAAATACAGCCATAAATTAGAAACAGCTTTTGAAAAGAAGTATGATTAAACTTTTATAAGGACAATTCTGAACTTGTCACACAGTTAGAATATTTCTACCTCAAAAAACAGTAATGTCTTACACATAATTTCCTTCAGGGATGCAAAGACTTTAAAATGCAGAAAAGTTTTGCATTTTATTTCTAAATGTAAAAATAAATATTTAGCTAAGGAAGGGAAAAATAAAGCACATTTAAATAATTTTATTGCACTGGAAGTTGCCAATTCATCTGTGAGTAGTCTCATTGCAGATGAAAAGAAATCAAAATATGGGACAGATGTTGAACAAACCGCATTTAAGTTCTGTCACACACTGGCATTTTTCAAATGATTTTGCCTCATCTATTAAATAAGGTGCATTTTGCTTGATTTTGAAAAGGGAAACATCAGGAAATATTTAAAGGCCAATTGCTGCCAATTAACTTTGATCAGTAAAAGTTCTATTTGAATCTTTCAGATTCTTCTCCTGTCTGAAATAACATACATTTATAAAATCTAGCAAAAAACAACTTGATGATTAATGCCTGTTGGCAGCCCTACCACAAGCTTGCTTAACAGAAGAATTTAAATAAACAACTGTCTCTATTAAGAAGGGAGTGAAACGTAGTTATAGTCATGTTTTCTCATAATAAAGATATGAAAAAACAATGTTCTTTATTCTTAAGAATTTTGCTAACCAAGATCATTGTGTTTGTCAGTGTCCATAACATATTTAGCTAGCCATCTTATAAAAGTTTCCCCCAAATCATAACGTGCCAATAAAATCAACAGCAGTTAGAAGAAATCCTAGCAACCCAAACAGCAGAGGCCTGACTTCAGTATTTTCCAAACAACTGGACCCGCCAGAAAAGCATCTGACCTCATACATTGAGTTTGACATGGATAGAATATTCAAGCATGATGAATTCTATTGGATTCTACAGGAAATATATCTCAACAGTGACTGTGAAACTAGCCAGTTATGAACGTAGCTTCTGATCATCAGCACAGTTTAATATTTAGGATTCTTGATATAAATATTAATCCTTACCAGTGGTCATATGGGGTCTAACTCTGAAACAGAACTGTTAAAGTAAACCAAAACGGAAATCCCACAAAGGCAAAACACATTGTCACATAATCAACAATTGCTTTTTCTCATTAATTCTATTTATGTCAAAATGTAGCGTCCCCTATTATTTTAAAATCAATCATCCATTTCAAGATATAAAAAATAAAGTATGCATAAAATAGTTAGAACTTACTTCTAGGTCGTTAAAGAATAGATGTGTGTCTGCCAAATTGAAAATCATTTCTTCCATTCGCAGTCCAAGGGAAACTGAAGTGGGTGGATCCTAAAAAAAATATTATCGGGTCAAGAACTTACTTATGCATCAGTTTTCATGAGATATAGTGTTACATGAAAAGGGAATCAGCCTCAGGAAAGGTGGAAAGCAAGAGACACAAGGGAAGACTGGGCTCTGGCTGCTTTTGGTGTACATGATTTATTCTGTGTGCACACATCAGTGACTTGCTATTTAGAAGTATCTCAACTATTTTTATTGCTTTGCATAGGGAAGAAATAATTTGCCGCATGAAATGTTACAAACAAAATAGGATCTAGGGCTATTTGGACACACACAGTAGAGGGCATTCAGCATCACATGTCTGCTTCAGGAGACATTACACCATCATACATCAAGAGCATCTAGAAAGTACTGCCACGAATATCAGAAAACATACTATAGTTCTCAGAAAGGTAGTGATTAGTAATTTTGCTTTACATAATAATTCTGTATCATTCTTTGTACTTTTTCAGGCTGCCTGGCAATTTCGAGCATAGTCGAAGTAAAAAAGGGGTGGCCATGGTGACCGCCTGACATGTGTCTAGCTCAGGGGACAGATCTTGACATCCAGGTTATAGGACAACCCATCAAACAGCTGGGAAGGGTGGCATTCCACAACATCCACGGGCTTCTACCTAACACTTCTAGCCCTTGACACCAGTGTCAGCAGTCAGCCTGTCCTTCACAGTCCACATCTGTCCTGTACAGTCCACATCTTGACAACACCGAGTGGTATGGACACGGATTTGGGGGATACTAGATATTTGCATTTTTTATCATGTTTTGCATTTGTAATTTATGAAATCCAGAAAGCAACACAGTTCATGGTTGAAATCCTGATACTAAATAAAGAGGAAAAATTTTTCTAGAGAGAAAATATACAAGTAATACAACTTTTTGAAGGGCTAATTGGCTCTAAAAATAATATCTACCTTATGTGTATGACATTTTAATTTTTTCCAAAGAATGATAACTTATGAAATATTTTTCTTATTACAGTGATTTTTAGGGATAAGTACAGAACTGTAATTAAGAGAAATTATGCCTGCAGGCAGATCACAGACCTGACAGGTGTGCACTTTGTTTATCTTTAAGTCTGAATGATAGTCAAGAACCTAAAACTCAAAGAAAATAAGATTCACCCTCTAACATTCCCCAACACAAACGGTACACTGTCTGTATTGTCTTCTAAACACACTCTCTTCATTTCAAATCCGAAGACTTGCGTGTGTCTTTCACTCTGCTCTTCATATATGTAAAGCCTGTCCTGTCCTTGAGCATCCACCACAAGTCCCAGCTCCTCCTGTGCTCTGAGATGCAGCAAGAAGTAGGAGAAGACATCCAGGCTGGAGGCGAGGCCTTACTTTTGCTCCCCCATAGGGTAATAAAAACACTCAGGTGTGTTCGTACACCTAGAAGACTGCAGGAACCTAGAATGCAGGAATGAGAGAGGGAAGTCCTTGAGCAACTGCCACTGGCCAGGTGTCTGTGGCCCGGGAGGGGGCAGCACTGCTACCCGCCAGCACCACCATCCCTATAGGGCTGCCCACCCCCACAGCACCGCCCACCCTTTACTTCCGGGATATCCAAGGGAAGAAGGGAGGTGAGCCTGTGAAAATGTGGGGGATGGCAGCTGAAGCCTTAATTCCTCTCCTGCTTACACTTTCCCTGCCAGCTGAGAGGTAGTGGAAAGGAGGGATTGGTGAAGTTGAACGTGAGAATGGTGGAGGGCTTATAAAAGGACAGGGAGTGAGTAAGGACACAGAGACTTACTGAATGTCCAAGCTGCGCACGAGGAGGCACAGATGAAAGCAGTTCCCTCAAATTCCCTGTGTGGTGGGTGATTTGTACTCCTTAACTTTCTTAAACTGTCCGTGTTTAATACCAGCTGAAATCTATACAGTTTCATAGGTTAGAGAAGAATTAAAAATAGTTTACAAAGAAGTAAGGAAAACAACTCATTTACTCTGTTTTTATGGGAAGTGAAAACATTCACAAGTACGCTATCTGTAAGTTGCTGTAAAGAGCAGATGCTCAAACACGCCTGAGAACAGAATAAACCGGTGGGGAAAGTCCAAACAGCTGTTTCTAAAACGAAACACCTGACTAAGGTGTATACCCCTCTAATTCAGGCCAATAAAAATACACTGACTTGTCTCATAACCATGTCAATGAATCTTTTTATGTGGCCGGGATGGAGTCTCACCACATTTATGTAATTGCTAATTGCGAAATTTATGTGCCATGGTACTGTTACCATTGAGAACACATTATTTCTCCTTGATATGGTTGCTTATTTATATGGTCATCTCAAGAATTACTCTATTGTTTGTTAATATATAGTATGCTTTAACTTTTCTTCATAAATTACCGTAATGACTTGCTAGTCAGAATACTAATAAATTTTAAAGGCTTGTTCAGTCTTGTGGTAAAATACAACACAGATGTTGGCCTTATTTACCTTTTAATGTTGTTCTCTTTTATTATTAAGCAGTCATTCCTGAACAGTTTTTCTACCTGCTGTGCCAAAGTATTGTTATGAAACATTTACTACACCAAAACAACTGGCTGTAAATGGAACAAGAATTTTAGAATAGGAAAGGGTTCTGGCGGACAGCACTGTGTCTCAAACACTGTTTCTTTTAACCACTACCCAAGTAAACAAACAAAATGAAACAGAAGAAAACAAGACAAAAACATTTTATGCCACCATCTAAGCATCTCTGTCTCTGTCTCTCTCTCTCTCTCTCTCTCTCTCTCACACACACACACACACACACACACAAATGAAACCTAGGTTTGGCCCAACAACTTTCCTTGTTATGTCATGCTGTGTGGGGTGCACTCTGATATTTTCCATTCACAGTACTGTCATGATCAATTTATCTTTTGTAAAGCAGATCCCTGAAAGATACCCCTCATTGATTTTAAAGATAGGAAGACTGGTTTCCAGCAGTGTTGTGATTTTTGCATTGTCAGTGGGCTGGCAGGTACAAAGTCACCTCACTCTGTTTTAGGTAAGAGAAACTAGTAGAACAAGATAGATAAAAAGGCAGATAGATAAATTAGATAGATAGATAGATAAACAGATAGACAGATAGAAAGATAGATAGTTGACTATCTTCATGGATTTGTCTATACAATTCTAGCAACCAGAACTCTTCTCATATCACAAGTAGACTCTATTTTTCTATTACAATAAGTGCTATTTCAATACCTTAAAATTTTCAAACATGTTTAAGTCAAATGTAACAGAACCTAATATTGAACAGTTAATAAGTCCATCACAGCTTGATGGCTTATTTTGGCATACTCTGAACAAAAAAATATAAAAACACATTCTCAGACTGCAAGTGAGACCTGAAAATCACTGTCTTTAGTTTAATTCTGCTTTTCTTTAAAAAAGTAATCTTGCAATAATAAATTTCAGAGCTGCAGTTATGAAATGGTTTCTTCTAAAGCACCATTTTTATGTTATATCACTATTGAAAACAGTTTTTGGAGCTTTGCCTCCACGTCAAAGTAAATCTCACTTTAAGGAAATTTCATGGCCAAATGTTTCCATTGTTTACTGAGCCTGACCCCCCGGTGGCTTTTGCCACTCCTGTCTACACTTTTCTTGATGTTTCTCCTCCTGTCTGTAACATCATCAGTCTTTCCTGAGCATCTTCCTAGATTTGATGATCAATCATCTACTCCCAGTCCATAGGAATGTTCACCTACTCCTCACTCTTCAAGGTGACTCATGACCCTAACATGCTCAAGGCTTCAACCTCCACTCCAGTCCCCTCTGTCAGAACTGAGATCTCAACTATAGGCTCATATGTGAACTACCTTTGGTCGTTTCTCCTCAGACATCCATAAAGCAGCTGAAGCTCAGTGTGTGACAAATCAAATCATATTTCCCCTGGAGACCCACTGCGTTTTTTCTTTAGAAGACCGACATGCTTCTAACCCCAGACCTCGGCATTTATAAGCAGCTTCTCCCTAGTCGCACATTAAATCAGTGACATTCATGGCTTGCTCATGCTCATCACTATGCTTTGCTTTCATTCCCAGCTACCGACCTCGTCTGCGGACATCTTCAGTGCTCTCCTTCACTGGGCTCTATTTTCCAGGTGCCACCAACCCCATGCCATTCTCCCACCCATTTTAAGAAACATTCAAACACCTCAATACTTATGCATGGCCCATAAATGTCTCACTTTCACCTGCCTCCCCAGTGTGTCATCTACCTGTGGTTTTCCAAACTACACTTCATGGCCATGAAGTTCTGTCTTCAAAATGTGACTAGGCAGAGGTCTAATAATACTGTTTCATATTATAATTATACATCATGTATAATTTTATAATATATGTCAATTACATTTAACCATAATATATACTAATATAATTACACTAGTATAAAGATAAACATTGTATGCTAATTTGACTATATTATACCATATTTAGATATATATTTAGTTATAACATAACACAAAGGCAAAGTGCTTCTGATGGAAGCTCTTGCTCAAAGACCTTAAAGAAAATCACAGCAAAGGATCTGTCCCCACAGGGTGCATGCATTAATCTATCAGGGTCTCTGACCACACCTGCGGATCCAGGACCCCATTGTTTTGTTGTGTTTCTCCCATTGGCCATCAGCAATTCAGTGTCTCCTTGTTCCTGATTCTTTCCAGCTTGGCTGAGCAGCCCCTGGATACTACAGGTGATATGCTCTTTGGTTTTTGATTCGGGATTTATAGATTTTTTTCCTTTGGGTTGTGGCATAAAATTTTAAATTGTAGAACTAAGGGGGCTGGGGATTTAGCTCAGCGGCAAAAGCGCCTGCCTGGCAAGTGCAAGGTCGTGAGTTCGGTTCCCGGTACCGGAGAAAAACCAAAACCAAAAAAAAAAAATAAATAAATAAAAAAAAATAAATTGTAGAATTAAAACATAGTTGTCATGGACTGGAAACGTAGCTCAGTTGTACAGCACTTGCTTTGATCCCCAGCATTCCCCCTATGCACAAAGTGGAATCAGTTCTCCAAAATATGATGGGAACTTGGTGTTTCCACTTTGTGGATGACGTTTTGTTTAGTTACATCTTTCTCTCAACCTTCTGTCTTCAGCATTTCAAAAACTATTTTAGATTTTAAGGTACGACCCTCTGTTCTTCTTATTCCTGTATCTTTCCTTCTACGTCTTTGCTTACCCAGCGCAATGCTCGACATGGGCTCTTCCCAAGGTTTGCCGCAAATATGGACATACAAACCAAAGGAACAGAAAGACCAGCAACCAATCCTTGCACATACGGTCAAACAACTTATGAAAAGGTTCCCAAGACTATTTAATGGAGAAATAATAATCTTTTGGACAAATCGTGCTGGAAAAATTGAACATCCACAAGAAAGAAATGAAGCTGGATCTTTAAACTATGCATATGCATTAACTCAGAACAGATCAAAGATCTAAATGTAGTAGCTAAACTCTGAAACTTTTAGGGGAAAAATTTCAAGACAGTGAAAAGGTAATGACTTCTTGGGTATAGCACTAAACATACAGGCAAGAAAAGAAATGAACAGATAAAGTGGGCTACATCAACATTAACAATATATGTGCATCAAAGTGCACAATTAAGCTAGTGACAGGCAACCTACAGAAGGGAAGAAGATATCTGCAAATCACAGATCTAATAAAGGGTTAATATTCAAATTATAAAAAGAACTACAGTTCTAAGAACTCCTACGACACAAAAAGGTGGAAGGAACAGAAGTGTTTACTGATGGATGAGTGAATAATTGCACATGCAATGGAATATTATTTAGCCTTTAAAAGGAAGGAAATTTCAATATATGTTGCAACATGGAAGAACTTTGAAAATATTGTTCCAAGTGAAGTAAGACATCACAGAAAGACAAACAGTGTACATGATTCCACTTAGAGGTATGTGAATTCATACAGACAGAAAGTAGAATAGAGGTGGAGAGGAACTGGGGTTAGAGGAGAGTGGGGGGGTGCTGAATGGACATAGACGTGCAACTTTATAAGATGGTATGGTTTAAATATAAGATGTCACCTGGAGACTCGTGTCCTAGAGGCTTATTCCCCAAGTACAGCAGTGTTACTCTACAGAACTGATTACATTAGGAGGACCCTAACTTCATCAGCGGATGAATTCACTCAAGAGACTACAATGCGATTATTACATCACAGAGCCAGGAGGTGGAGCCTCGTTGAGAGGAGTGGGTCACAGAGCGTAATCTTCAAGACTCTGTTTGGTCCTGGCCCCTCCCCGTGGCTCTTTCCCCATTTCTCCGCTTTCTGGCTGCGCCCTTCCTCCACCTCAGCCTCCTGCCATGATTTTCTGCCTCACCTCAGGCAACGGTGATGGAACCAGGTGACCATGGGCTGAAACCACGAGATGAAATTTTTAAAAATTAAAGATATGTAACTATCAAAAATTTTTCTAGCTATTCCTCAGACAGAGGACTAATATTTGGAATAAAGAACTAAAAATAATTAGGCCACCCAAAATAAAAGACCCAATTAAAAATGGGCAATAGAAATGAATAGACACTTCTCAGAAGAAATACAAATGACAAATAAATACAGGAAAAATGCTCATTATCACACCGACTAGAGAAATGCAAATTAAAACAACACTGAGATTCTATCTTACTCCAAAAAGAATGGCTTAAGTCAACGAATCAATAATGAATGCTGGCAGGGGGAGAAAAGAACCCTTCTAGATTGTGGGCAGTAATATAAAATAGTACAACTACTACAGAGATCAGTACGAAGACTCTTCAAAAAACTAAAAATAGAAATTCCATTTGATCCAGGTATTCCCCTTCTAAGTATTTTCCTGAGTTAGTGTCCTATTACAGCTATCCACCCATCCACAGATGAATGGGTCACGAAATGCTACGTTTGCCACAGAGAAGAATAAACGAGCCATTTTAGGTAAATGAAAGTGGCTTGAGACCATAACATTAAGTAAAATAGATCATACACAAGAGTAAATATCACATGGTTTCTCTTATATGAGAGACTCAAAATATAAATAGAGAGCAAAATAAAAGATGGATAATAGGAAGAAAGATCTTTTTCAAATGGGAAAGGGAACAAGAAATGGAGGGAGGGGGAAGAGAAGAAGGGAAAAGGGATGTAAAATATGAACTGAAGAAAAAAGTGGAAATAGGGCTTTTGCAACAGGAAGGGGGAAGCGTTGGAGGGAGCAGAGGGGCTGACAGTGAAAGGGGACAAAAAAAAATTAAGATGCGTTATGCGCATGTGCAAACTCCCCATGATGAATGAAATCACCGTGTGCAGCAGACATGTACCAATAAACAACGAAATGCAGCTATTGACTGGAAGATATTCTAAAATTATAAATTTTGCTAGATGGCTGAATTACTGAGTAACATCTAGTATTTCTATTTTAAAATTTTTTTCTACCAGAGTCTTACATGCCTACTGAAATACACACAAACTGAATCATATGGTGCCTGAGATTCACCTGCAAGAATCATTCTCGGAAAAGAAGATCATTCCCAGGCAGAACAAGGCAGCAGAGGGATGTGGTAAGGATCCCGATGAACAAGACTGGTTAGGAGTTTATACTGGTTCCACCTAGAGAGGTACACTGGGTTGCATTGTACTGTTCCATGTACTTTTGCTTATGTTTGGAAGTTTCTGTGATAAAAACTAAAACATATAAAAATACTTACTGAGAAAATTTTGGTGATCTTTCGGTGGTGGAATGCTGAATTAAAAAGATTTATTTTGAAAATTTAAACTGCACTTTTAAAATGCCAAAAAAAGTTTTAAAAGCTAAAATTGGAAAGTTCCTCAGTATATCCCCTTTTATTGAGAACATGGTAGGACTTGCGTGGGTAATCTGCACTCAGGCTTACGTGAGAGTTTAGAATATACCCAAGAATATGTAAGTCTCTGATTTGCCTGTATTAACTTCCCTCATCTTTCACATGCAGCGTCCTTTTCCAGGAGCCTGGGGACGCCTACATTTATAATTGAAGCCCCAGGATCATCGTGTCGTCGTTTAGGAATGGCAGTGCTGCATTGCCACAGAGATCAGCTGCGAAGGGGAAGCCTTGGTGTAATTCAAGAATGGTAGTAAATCTGAAAGCATCTCACTCGGGACCACTGGCATTTATTTTCTGGTTGTACGGCTCCTGTGGATCCTGACTATTAATCCACAATGCTAATGCTATCATCTGACCTCCATTACTACTCATTTCCCAGTAGTTAAATAAGTGTAGCTTCCTGGAAATGCCTGTCATGAGCAGTATCAGGAGATGTGCTTCCTTCTCAGCACTCTTCGTCCTTTGGCGATCCTGAAGTTTCATTCTTAGTGATGTGAAGGGGCATGAGTTCACCTTTACCCAGTGACAGGCTGCAGTTGAAGACTCATTCATGCCCTAGCAGCAGCCTCCTTTATCAACGTATAGGCTCCCTACAGGCAGGACTTAGGATAGGCACCTGCTCTAACTGTATTCATGTTCTGTAAACAAGCAAGACTGGGTTTTTGAACAACTCATTATTATCAGGCCAGGTGAGTGTCAAATGGTGACGCAGGCAGGAGAGGAATGCATAGCCAGGCGTGTGTGCTGGGTACTGGAGCCCATATAGCCCTGGGGTGTCAGGTGTACGAACTTGAGGAGTATATCACTTCATGGTATGATTTTCTGAATTACTTTATGGATGTTTTTAAGGATAATTGCCCATAACTAAGCTACTCTATGGTAGAGGGTGAAGGTGCTGAGTACAACCTATCCATACGACTACTTCTAACAGATTCCTTTGATAGCATCTTAAATTTTGGGTAGTCTTAACCTGGAGACCACAAGGTATTAGAATGGATGTCACCCAACAGGGAAACCACACTAAATTATTCCAGGTCCTTGGGAAATGGTGACAGTGGGTGTATTTTTGTGATATTTTTGCTGTGTTTCAGTGATAAGGCTGAAGTTTATGCTGCTCAGATTATTTTGTTGTTGTCCGTTTATGTGAAGCACTATAATAGTTATGTCTGCTTTGCTAATTCCAGTATTTGTACATATTTGATCATAAGTATTTTGCTTTGAAGGTAGTGTGTACTAATCCCCAGTCATTTGAGCCCTTTTAACACTGAAGCTATATTCACTAAGGAGGCTTCCAGACACTAAGGGGCAGAGAAAAGAGGCACAATCTAATTGTCTAATTTTGCTGACTGAACCACTGAAGCAAATCAAGTCACAGAGTTGCTTGGTGACCCTATTCAGGACAAAGCTTGGAGAAAAGATTGGAACGTATGGATTTTAGTGTCTTTTAAAGAAAACATAAAGGAGCCAGGCACTCTGTCGTACTAATAGTGTTTCATAAGCATACATAATTTTTCCTGTAAATTCAGCAGCTTTATCTCCATGACAACAAAACACCTTTTATACCCTGAGCTGTCTACAGCCAACTGAGCAAGAAACGTAATAGAGGCAGCCCGAGTGGAGTACCAGATACTACCTCCTGACTTATTCCTATCTTTCCTAATTTCTTCTGCCTGTCTTGCCTCAGTTCTGCAAGGTCCCGTTCTTGGATCTCACCTGCCCAGCGCCAGGATGACCCGCGAAGCACATTATCCTGGAAGAGTGCACAAAATAACTGCACAAGTCTCAGGAAAGTACCAGAGAAGGGTGGAGTTATCCATTCAACAAAATGATCACAAACAGCCCAGAAAACCCACAATGCTCCTCAGTTTTCAGTTTCAGATGACAATGTAATCTATTTTTAGTGGCAAACGCAAATCTCTTAAGAATTGAGCCTACTTCAGAAATGATTTTCTGAGCCCAGTTTCATTGAGTTTCTTAAAAATTCTACATTTGGTTTATACCGTCCATAGTCCTTGGAGATGAAAAAGAGATGGAAACTTGAAGGAAAACGTGTTTATATCTTTTGAGCTTTTGAGAATGGGATCCAGAATGTTTCTTCTGAGTATAATAACAAAAATATCTCTTCTCCTTTCTCTAGCCACTTTAAATCTAACAGTTTATCTAACCGCTAAAATATCTATGCCTTTATGTAACTATGTTTTAAAAGATACATCCCAAGATTTTTAGTGTTGATTTAATAATGCCACAAATGCCAAATATTACACTAGATCTTGTGCAGTCCAAAAGTCACTTCAGTTTTATAATAACTAAAAATAGCACCAAAATGTTGATGAGGAAGCAGTTTCTCTTTATTGCTTAGATATAACCCGTAAAGCATTAAAAGAAAAATTGTTCTTATTTTTAATGTCGTTCTCTTTACAAGCCTTTACATATTTTTTAGTTATACTTTTTGTACTATTATTTTAATTTTATAACCTGAAAAGTGAAGAATTTAAAACCAAGAAAAGCAAACAATATATTTTGATTGAATTTAGCTGGTTAGCATTTCCCTGAGAAAATAACTTGTATAATTTTAATCTTTTTTTTTTTTTTTTGGTTGGAGTGGGTGAGACAGAGTCTCACTATGTATATAGTTTAGGCTGCCCTTGAACTCACTAAGTAGCCAGGCTGGCCTTAAATTCACAGTTATTCTCCTGCCTTAGCCTCCAGAGTGCTGGGATCACAGGCATGTGTCACTATGCCAGACTCATAATTTAAATTCTTTTAAATTCAGACATTTAAGAACTATTTTAATACCTAAGTCACTGCTCCAGTTTTAGATAACTATCACATTCTGACTCTGTAATTGAGCAACACAAAGTATGTTCGGTATTCTTACTACAATACAAAAACAAAACAACCCCAAATAAGTGAATTCTGTCTTTTAGTTATTATTCTATTACTATTTTCAATCTATAAGCACACTTAAAATATATGTATTCTATATCTCTTCTCTTTGACTGTGTGTCCTATTATTTCTTTGAGATCAAATCTACAAACTCTTAGCCATCACTATACTACTTTGGATCATAAAGTACTCCATGCCATGTTTTTAAAAATTACTAGCTTATGTTAGAAAGAGCTTCAAGAAGATAGTCTATTTCAGAAGCCATGGTGTGATACTTACATGCTGCACCTGTGCAGTGAAAGATAGGTTCCTAAATGCTACGCGCATAGAGTCTCCATGGGAAGTTAAACCCTTCTGCAGCAATTACTGAGAAGCCGTGGCCCAGTGAGGCGTGATGCTTACATGTCAGAGGGTTTAGGAAGATTTGTTGCTCAATGTGGACATCTTGTTAAGTACGTTCAAATGAAGGTCAAATCTTTGGGCAATATCAATCAAATTAAAGAAAAAAACCCCTGCTTTCAGTTCCTTTCAATAATTCCTTATTAGCATGCTAATATTACAGCCACAAGTTGGACCGAAATGTCATTTGAAAATTCTCCCTATTCAGGATCTTTTGTTTGGGGAAAAGCAGCTGAAAAACAGGAGTGGGTACTCTGAATACAGAGTGGTTTATTTTGGAGGCTTTATGCTGGTTGTTCACAGGGGAAGGATTAAGGATAAGCTTTGCAAATTAGCTCTCTTACCCAAGAAAACAGAAAAATTAAATGCTGAAAAGTTATTTCTTGTATACAGCATTACTAAAAGTTCAAATGACAAACACAACCAATGAGACCCCAGGGTCTCCACTGCTGTCTTTCCTCCTGCCTAAAGGCATGAGTACTACCAGTGGAATATTCACTTTTTCCAAGGCTATAAGGCCCTATCATTCAACAGTTGGGTGTGAAATATCAAGTTTGGGGAGTTGTGCGTAATTATGATGCCAATGAAGAAATAATCTAGATTACTATGGGAGATTGTACAGAATGAGCCATGGTTGAATTATTGTCTTAATGACTTGAAAGAAATCCAAACCTGTGCTGGTGTTAATCAGGTATTTTTTACTGATTAGATATCTGACACTTGACTACACTCATTTTCTCCTTACTTAAGAGGCTCTCTTTCAACATCATGAAAATAATACCCAAGTAAAGAATTAAGAAAAGAAAAAACCTTCACCATTCCAAAGATTAATTTTGATTACTGAGAAAACATGTTGAGCGCCAAACATGGGACAACGACCAAGAATTGTTACAAAGAAGGGGCTGGAAGAAGAAAGCCAAGGTGGACTTGGCCAGTTCGTTTCAACACATGGGGCCCGCTTGGGGCCAAAGGACAGGCTCACCACCTAAATTCAATCAAAGACCTACCACGATTTCACTTGTGATCACTCTCTTCTAGTATTACAGCCATTTTTATAGCTCTTTATTGTTTCCCACCAGTTGCACTACACAATGACTTCCTTTTTCATTTGATTAACTTTCCTACTTGTACACTTGGGTCGTGTCACTCTACTGCTTGACATTGTTCATGGCATCTGCATGTCTACAGCAGGGAATCCTGGCATGCAATACCAGCCCTTCTTTTAGGGTAATGGATTGATGTGAAGACTAGAATACATTTCTAGTATTGCCAGTTCATAGATGTGACTCCTTGGTGAATGATTTAAATTTTCTGAGCCAAAATTTCCTCAATGAAAAAAGGAGAAACTAACTGGATAACCAATATAAGATAGCAGCATAAACTGAAAGCTGAACAAAGGTAAAGTATTTACATTAGTATTTCAACACATTCTTTCTATTCACTTTCCCCTAGTCTGATCTCTAAATTTACTTTATAGATATCTACCCTTCCTGTGCGTGATTTTGGCCACTTGCAATGCTGTTCTTCCAATTCTGGCTTTCTGCTACCTGGAACAGGAAAATATGCACAGTTGCCTACTTCCTCCTCTGAACTCCTAAAGCACACAGTAATAGCTCTTATTTACGTATTGCCCATGAGCATATTTTTAGGTGCTCTACACTGTCCTCTGAGCAGCTCTGTGTTTGCTTTCATTTTAAGGATGGGAAGATTAGGGTACCAAAAGTGAGACAGAGATACAAGGTGCTTTTCCCAGGGATCCAGAGCAAGGGAGTTCCACAGCTAGGGACTGTAGGCCAGCAATTACAGGGAGAAGAGGCAACTTCCATGACAAAGTGGAGAAAAGAGGTAAGAAGGACGGTTCCACTGGAAATATCTCTGCTATTCAAGAAAATTGTGGCTTTTGCCAGTGTGTTTTGAGAGTTTAGAGTCTCTGTCACTTTGCAGTATCTAGAAGCTCTAAGTGCAGCCACATACTGTTGACCTAATGCAGGGATGACATGCAAAGAAGAAGATTAAATCAGGACACCACCCTTGGGACTGCACTGGCAGTCATCTCTCTGGAGCCCCCACCAAGCCAGAGAGCCTTGGGAGGGCCCGAGCCCCAGGGGTTTTGCGAATGTGCTTTTGGTTTCAATCAATGGTCAAAGACCTGAGATTTAGCACTTCTTGCTACCCATTCACTAAAACCTATTCTTTATTTCTTCCTAGGCACACAGCGAAATGACCTTTCCCAGTTTCCTGGCACTGGACCATGTGGCTGAAGCCAGTGCGATGAACAGAGCTGTGCTCTGGTTGGCCTGGCCCACCGTCCCTCCCACGCACACTGCCTGTGCTTTGTCTCCTGTGGGATGATTGCTAATGATGACGATCCAAGAGAAGAGTAATAGTTCACGAGGCATGAAAATCACACGAAACTCAAATTTGGGAAGTGCGAATCAAGTTTCATTGGAACGCAGCTACACGTATTTGTCTATGTACCATCCACAACTGCTTTAGTACTGCTAGGGCAGAGCAGAAAAATTATGCAGGAATACGGCCTTCAAAGCCTTAAATATTTATCCTGTGGCTCTCGACACATGAACTTGCCAATGCCTGGTCTAGAGGTTCCAAAAGAAAGATCATATGGTTGAAGTAACCAGACCCTCTGCTACCCAAGCAGGACCCTGGAAGGAACAGATGTCCCACGTGATTTCTGTCTTGCTAAGGGTTCAGTACCTTCACTACGTATCTCAAAAGGTCTTGGAGTTCAGTGTTGTTCCTTAACACAAAGTAGAAACACCGTTCTTTACTGGTTAACTGGAGTATTCTCATGGAATGGGCCACATAAGCTGCTCTTTGATTTCTTTTATTTCCTTAGTGCCCTAATATCCATTATGTAGGTTTAGATGATCGAAACTCACATTACAACAACTGAGCTTCCCTTAGAAGCCTTGCATGCTATAAAACAAACATTCTACGAGCAGCTACTACAGCTCAACAAGTGACACACTTTTCTTACTATCGGTTGTGGCCATTAGTAAGACATTATAGTAGACCTTTCCAATTCCTGTCACAATTTAATTCTTAAGAGAGTTCTTGGGTCAAATAGCTAACCGAAATGATGAGAAGATAGAGACACCATAAGAATAAAATAATTTTCCCAAGGTCAAAGAGCTAAAGTATCTTGGCATTAACTTTAGAGATTCCTAAATTCAAGTCTGGTGCTTTTTCCGGGGCAGCACAGGGCATATCACATGTTCATAAATTTGAAGACATTGCCACCATATTACCCTCTGGCCCCCAGGCCAGCATTCAAGTTGACTATACTGTATTTCTGAGAGTCAAGTCTCGTCTACGTTCAGATATATCTGGTATTTATCAAATTTTTATTTTATACCAGACATGGTTCCAAATGTTTTCTATATTTGGTATCTACCCTGTCTCTGTTCCTTATCTGCAAAAGTCTTAATTATATCAACTTCATAGCATTAAAGTTAAATTAAATGGGTACTAGGTATTTAGGAAATTTTTAATAGGTCCCACGAATAAATACCTGATAACCCAAATTCCTTTGAGACACAAGTGCTAAGCAATAATAAAAAGAAAGTACTGAGAAACAACGAGGCATTTGGTACAGGAGTCTTAGGAAGTCCTCCTGTGAGAGGCGTATCACACTTGAGACATCAGTACAATATTTATTTGAAATATAAGTCGAGAGTATCTACAAAGGGTGATCAACATATAGTGAATGTCTAAATTCTAAAAATTATTATAGGAAGAGACAGGTTGCCATTAATCCCTTTCTAAACATGCCCCGTTACATCACACGCACTTACCCTGCATTCTTGCAAGTGTCTCAAGCAATCTGTAAGTCCTCTTCTGTGTCTTTATGAGGTGTGATCAAAAGAACAGGGAGCGCCACTACCAAGTGCCAGCCAACGGAAAAGCAGGCTCGGCTCCTAAAAACGTTACATGGGTCTGGCACTGTGCAACTTCTGGCTCTTCCCCGAAGTCAAAGTGACCCTGAAAGCTAAACATTTTGAATGCATTCAGGACGTCAAGGCACCCATGATGGTGCAACTAAAGACACTCATGAAAGAGAACTTCCAGAAAGGCTAAAGACAGTGACAAGACTGATAGGGCAAGTTTGTTAAAAATGTGGGGAGCGTTTTGAAGGGAATTAATGGCAGTGTGTCTGTCATGGTAGTAATTTTAAAATTTAAATATTCACTATATTTTTCAATTGCACATTGTACTTTGATAGTAACAGTTGTATTATGTTGCCTGTCTTAAGAGACACCAAAGAAATTTTAACGGAAGACTAATTTTCCTTAGTGAAATCCAGCAATTTGGAATTATTTTGAAACCACCTTTATAAAATGCCTTAAGTGGCCAGATTGAAAAGGAAAAAATATCACATTTTCTCTCAGATACACAATGTAGCACAAGGAAAAAAAGACAACGGGAAAGTAGACGGGAGATTATTAGGGAAGACAAAGGTGCTGGTGTGGTCATGCACACCTAGAATTCCAGCACACTGGGAGGCTGAGGTGGGAATACTGCAAATTCCAGAGACATAATGAGAACCTGTATCAAGATTAAAAATCAAATTTAAAGGTCCAGGGATGTAGCTCATGCAAAGCTCAGGGTTCAATCCTCAGTACTATAGGAAAAAGGGAGGAGGAGGAGGAAAAGAAGAATCAAGGTGGGGAGGAAATGGGGGTGATGGACATGGGGCCTGGAAAAATCAAAGTATGTTATACGCATGCGTAAATATGGTAAAATAAAACCCATTAGTATGTACAACTGACATGCATTGACAAAACATATTAAATAAAAACTAGGACACAAATTACTAACAACATCTTAATTTATGGCAATACCATAGACTTCCCCCTAATATGTGCTTCTTTCTTCTTTCCTCACTAAGGCTGTGCTACACCCAATACCCTCTCTTTATTCCCATCACCTTTGTTATAAAATACATAACACGTCCTTATAGCACCCAACGTGCCTCTTCCCACAGCTAGGATTACACAGAAGGTGGGACATTCTCAAACTTTTTTTCATACACGTTGCTATAACATGCCCTAATTTTGTATTATATCAACCAGATCCTATATCCCCTTACTGAATGGCCCACTCATTGAGTTGCCTAAGCTACTGTGACTAAGCTACTTCTCAAGTATCTGGTTCCCATAGAGACTAGAATAGCTATCACATGATCAGGCTTTCATTTCTTTCTGTGCACCTATGGGAAGGCCCAGCCGCAAGCTTCTCTGACAGTGCTCAGGATCACACCTAAATCTGTGCTCCAAAAAAGAAGTCTTTCCTCTGAGCTTTAGACTTTAGAGAAATAAAAGTGATATAAGACATTCTGATCAGCTTGGCTATTATTAAAGTTTGGAGGAATCCTGATTGAGCCACACAGTTTTACAAGGCTTGACTATCAGATCTGAGAACACATTAATAAGGAAACGTCAAGTGTTTTTGCATCCTTCTGGTTAGGACTCAATATCCCGAGCAATGCACCTTCAAAAATCACCCAGACGGGAAGGGGTACCTCCACACATTAAGAAAACAGGTTGGACGTGGTGTCAAGTACAGAGTAGGTGCTCAATAAATGTTTAGGAAGAAATCGTATGACTGTCTGAGGAGCATCTGGCCCTAAAGCATGAGCCACTGACTATACATCTGGTATCTCCGACCCTGACTGGCTCACCAGGGCCCCACCTAGCCCAAGTAGGTATTTACCGGGCATCTCAAACCTGACCAACATGTAACTTTCCACACTAGTTTTTCTCCATCTCCGTATACAAACAACTATTCTCGAAATTGCTTGAAATAAAGACCTAGGAATTATCTTTCACTCCTTTCTATTACTTATTGCTCACTACACCAGTTTAAAGTATTTCTATTAAATCCTTTTCTCTACCTGCAAAATAATCCTGAATCCAATCCAATCTCTCCAACTCTACTGTTAGTGGTTCAAATCACTGCTGAACCTCCAACCTGGGACTCCACTTTTTCCTCTTACTGTTGATTCTTCACACTCAGCTGAAGTGGAGTGTAAAATATAAACCAAATCATCTCACACCCTCCTTCAAATCTGCCCCCCACACCATGACTTTGTGACATGTGCAGTGAGATTAGCCCTCCTGACAGCAGCTGAGGGGCAGCACAAAACCTGCCTCCTGACCACATCTCCGTGGAAGCCCCATCTCACCCCTAAGTGTGGTTCCATGGGGCTCTCAGTACCTCAGTTGGCTCACTCTTTCCTGACACTGTCCACTGTTTCCTCTGCCTACAGCGCTTTCTCTTGATGTCCACAAGGGGCCCACAGGCATTCTGACTTCAGGCCCAACATCACACTCAGGAGGATCTTTGGCAAAATGTGAGATTTCTGAAGTTCTTTCTTCAGTTCCTATCTTATCAATGAAGGGTAAATTTATAGTGGAATAACTCAGATCATCCATACTTGAAGGAATATATAAATTTGGCTTTTGGAAACTATATGAGGTAGAACTTTATATCAATGCCATCCTATGAGAAAACTATGAAATACTAATGATTAGAACTTTTAAAAAATGAACTTGTGGTACTTGTAGGAGGGTCAGATGGTCTATTTATGGATGGTCTATCTGTCTGTCTGTATCTCCCTTTCTTTTCTTGTGTTTTTTAAAGCTAGGGTCTTGCTTTATATTTCAGGGAGGCCTTGAACTCACTATATAGCCCAGACAATCCTCCTGCCTCAACCTCTCAAGTACTGGGATACAGGAGTGTGGCACCATCCTTGGGAAGACATTATCTAAAAAATATTCTGTATACAGATTGTTGAGATTCCAGATAAAACTATAAGAAGGCAGGGGTTTCTAAGTTAGGCTTGAATTTCATGTACAAGCCAATACTTTATGGCCAAAGACTGACATGAAGTTAGTAGATCATGGGATGTCTGCCATATATTATTATTCTTTACACACAATACCAAGGCAGGGAGTATAACAACTCCAACATGGATGCATTAGTCCTACTGCCAGTCAGAGATACAGCGTCATACACCATTTAAGGAAATATAACCGCAATAGTCAGGAACAAGGACATTCACAGCAGGTGTTCTGAAAACAAAACGTCAACATTGCTAATCAGTAAAAAAATAGCCAGTGAAATATTTGCTCCATTGAATACAAATAAAAGGACATAGAAAAAAAAACCCTCACAAACTATCTTTAATTTGTGATAAATATATGTAACCTATATACTTTAAGTAGTATTTAATTACTTTTATTCACTGGGACTTGAAATAAGAATAAACTTAATTCCATGAAATCTATCCCATTTTAAAGAGCTAAAATTCTTCTTCATTCATTTTCATATTTTTGCTTTACCTATATATTTGACTCTATGAATAAACTATTTTCCCTTTATATTTTTTATTTTAAAGGAAAAAAATAACAAAATAACAACAAAGACAAAAGCAAAACAACACAAAAACAATAAAAAGATAGAGAATTTTAAAACAAGATGATAGGAAATTAACAATGGTTGTTATATTACATATCATTGTCTTCAACAAAGTTGTTCAGATTACATTTTAAATTTATAACAATTTAAATTCCATTCATATGGAAAAATGAATTCGAGGCATATTCACTCCAAAGAAATTAAAAGACCAATGCCTGCTGTACTCACCCTCCCGTATCTGTTGGCATAGGACCCGGTAAGCAAGGAATGGAAGACGATGATTGTCTCATCCAAGTCCCAGATAAACACTCTCTGCAAAGGAAGAACCAAATCAATGTGTCTTTCCCTTGGCTGAAAAAAACATCATTTGGTTAACTTCAGCATGAAAAAGTAGTATTGAAATACAAGACAAAAACGTGAATTTATTCTTTATCCCCAGTTGTTCCAAATAGTATATCCTAGCCCCTTTTCAGACAGAACATTAGATGGGAAATGAGAGGATACTTATCCTACAAATCCTAACATAAACATGCAAGAGAGATAATAGATGTCTTTCCTATTATTCTATTATACTAGAATCTCTGTTTCAGTTCTGAAGAAACAAAAAATGAAATATAACTAATCTGTTTATAATTGGGAGATTCAGAGAGCCAATTGAAATCAATTTGTCTTTTTCTTAACTCTGATCTCTGCTCCTTAAGAAATGGACAAAGAATAACTCTTACATGTTACTCTTACAAAGCTAAATCTTAAACTTTGCACATAAAAAAATGAAGCTTTACATAATCCTTCCCCTTAGATTAGCTATGGGGCAGTTATGGAAAAGATGGGATGTGTACTCAGCCTTCTGTATCCATCAGGTCTGCATCCAGGGATGCAAAACACTCAGAAGAAGTTGTATTTGTACTAAACAGGTACAGAGCATTTTTATTTATCTGCTAAACAATGCAAGATAACAACAATTTCTGCAGTATGTGCACAGTATTAGGTACTATAATTTAGGGAAGATACACTCAGGAGAATGCATACAGGTTACATGCAAGTACTGTACTAGGCCATTTTGCACATCATGGGTTTTGGCATCTGCACAAGAGTTCTAGAAATAACCTTCTGTGGATACCAGGGGGTGGCTGTATATTTTTCTTGCTGAGATTTTTCAGTTCAGGTTATAGATATTTAACAAGTCTATCACTAGCAGATTTATCACTTATACTCTTGGATAGATGGGGTATTTTTAATTTGATTTGGAGGAATATATTTCAAAAAAGTCTCTGAGACACCACAAAAAGCCTCCCAAGCTGACTTTCCTTCTTCCCATCCTCACTCACACCAGTACATGTTCATGCACACAGATGCTGCTGGAAAAAATTTCATCTTCCCAGCCAAAATAACCATGTTTTCCACCATCAGATTTCACTTTGGCAAAAAACACAAATTTAATGGCAGTGGGTTCAAGGCTATGAAATCTACCACCCTTTTAGTTCTTACTTAATCCCGCCTGCTTTTGAACTCCACCAAAACATGTCTCATAAGGTGATTACCATTTCAGTTTAGAACATTCCAGGTTTTCCTTTCTCAATATGCAAGTCCATCTTTAATTTCAAAGTGGATTTTATGAAGTGTTCTTAGTATGGCATTTCCTTAATTGAAATGGTCATGATATTGAGCAGTGTGACAGAATTTTGTTTAAGCACAATTAGGTAATTTTTATTTACTTAGATGAAAATAAACAGATGTTTTACTATCTAATTAATATGGAAGAAAATACTGAACTAAATAATTGCATAGGTCTGAGGATGTAGCTCAGTGGTAGAGCACTTGCCTAGCATGTGTGAGGTTTTGGTTCAAATTTGAGCCCAATGAAAAAGAAATTATAACCTGCAGTAAATATGGAAGAGAGAAATACTGCTTTACTTATTGTTAATATGAAAAAGAAAGCAACAACAGAAGTGTTTGGATTCTTGATTACAGCTATTTACGTAGCATTTCTACAAAACTACCAATTCACTGTAAGATGCTGTGCTGTTTACTTGAGTGTTGGCAATGACATACCTCAAGATCAGAATCCGGGGGAGGTGAAGGGTTATTGTTTCTTCTTCCCCGTCCACGTGATTTCCCATCTGAACCTCGACGCAATCGATCAGAATCTGAATCTTTAATAGGTGTTGAAGGACTGTGGATCGTACTGTACTCTGTAAGGATAGAGGAAGGACTTTCAGCTCCTAGCTCTATCATCCTGGTGCCAAGATCAGCCTTGTTTTAATTCAGAGGGAAGTTTGAAGAGCAAAGCACATCCTATGTTACCATTTACTTTCATTGGTAAATAATTTATGAAGTACCTGATTTCAAGATTTGTTTTGAGAAAAGGTGTGATCAGAAACAAGTAAACTTTAATTGGCGGTGAGAGGCACCAGACATACTCCTTGATTTTCCTTGAGGTTCTCTGCGATCAGAGAGTGCTGCCCGCCCCTCCCCATTCACTTTTCTCTTTCTTTCCACAAATGGCACCTGGCCAGACTGAGAGGTTTCCGCATTCGCTTCAGCTGTGCCTCTCCCAGCTACAAAAAGGATTCTGGTTCACGGAGAGAAATGAAAAGGCGAACCGGCTCGGTGGCAAGGAAAACTGAGTCATCAGGCAAATTTCTCTTAGAAAAAACTGAAACCCCCCTTTTCTTCCTCATTTTATGGAAGAACCAGGGAGTGACACGATAAGCGGAGCAGAGGTGTGCCCGAGGCCCGTGCTTCACACGGCGCCCATCTGTGACTCTTCCTACGTCGTATTCACTTTGAACCGAACATCCAAAACCAACCAGGCAGCACATTCAAGCTACTCATCTGGCCAACTCAGGAAAACCACTGAAATAATTACACAGAAGCCACAAAGTAAAGAACAGCTCCCAGATGGCTTGAAGGAAGAGCTGAGCAGTGGTTTGGGGGTTCTGGGAGACTCTTATCCTGTGTTGCGAATGAATAAAATACCATCCACTCTTCTCTTAGGTACAGTTGTTTTCTAACCTCTCTAGTATGTACAGATAATCACCGCCTTCTCCAAATTCCCGAAGTCCATTGTGGACTCCCACCAAAACTCTTGGACAACTTTCTTTTTTTTGTTTTTTTTTTTTTTTGGTTTTTGGTTTTTCTCCGGTACCGGGAATCGAACTCACGACCTTGCGCTTGCCAGGCAGGCGCTTTTGCCGCTGAGCTAAATCCCCAGCCCCAACTTTCTTTACTAGGTAAGAGTGGGCATCTCCAAATCTGATTTGAAAAGTGGTTGTGCACACCGTGATATTGTTGACACTGTTTTTCACCAAAATATTAAACATTTTTAATATTCTATAAGCCACAGCTGTATCCCCAAGGCCATCATGTGTCAGACTGTATTGTCTCAGTAATACTGGCAGTCTTTGTTAATATACTACCAGCCATAACTCTACCACCGAGGCCATCAATGTGTCAAACTGTATAGTCTCAATATCACTTTCGAGCTTCAAAGCACTTCTCCAAAGCTTTATGAGTTCCTGCAGATATGAATAGACTTAGATAGAGTAAATTCCATTTCTAAATTACATGAAGCAGCTCTATACCTCCACTTAATCTTAACATCTAAAAAGAGTCCCACCACTAGTAAATGAGATTTTTGCATACCCTCTTCCATCAGGAACAAGACAGACTTATTCCTCAGACAAACTGGTCATGTACTGTCATACCCATAAACCATGAGGCTGACATATAAGCTTATTAATTATGATCAGAAAAATCAAAGCAACTCCACTCAATGGCTTAGTTATTTGGCATGTATTTTTGAGCTAACTCATCTCACAGAACTGTTAGTATACAATGCTGGCCGGTCATAGTTAATCATTCTTTAAATTTACATTAATATTCTTTTATTCCAGATGCAGATGGCTAAGATAGCCTTCTCTCCTTAAGATTCTCCCAACCAATTTTCCATATTTTAAAAACAATTAGGGACTCAAAAACAAATATATTTTAAATAGTTAAGTGGAGTCAAAGTTTTTGAAAGAAAAAGTATTAGACTTCCGTTTAAAAGAATATTCTACAATGTATATCTCCTTGAAGAACCTGTGAGCTGCCCTCTTATTACACAATGGTCTCCCTAATGGCTTCAAAATGAAGCATTCATTTTATAACTGGCAAAATGGGTATGTGATTTAATGTGCATTTTAACTACTTCCCTATAAAAGTCTATCTTGAATTTTGAGCTCTCTAGCTTTTGGAAATTCCTATTTGAGAAGAGTTAAAAGACATTAAGCACGGTATTTTATCACCTTTGCTTTTTTCCAGATAGTTTAATTTTGTTTTCAAAGGAGTTTATATTACCTAGGTTTTCTTAGCTTAGATTTCTTCTTGTTGATTGCCTATTCCTTTAACTTTGGTGTTTATCTGTCCTTTAAAAACCAATTAACTTTTAAAAAATAAATTCATCTCATTCATCTCATTTTTTTGGAAATAGAGAAGATACAGTTAAATGAATGACTTCTGTAGTTTCAAAAGAAAACAAATACATTGAGCAAAGTACACAGGAAAATTTTAAGTTATGCTATCTAATTTTATTACGTGGAGAGAAAAATATCCTAGAAGATGGAAAATCTGAAGCCTTTGAGTATTAAAGTACATGCATACTTACAGGCCTTCCCTACTTACGGAAGATAGAATTTTAAATGATGCAAGCTAGTTTTATAAAATCCCTTCCTTTTTGTTCTGTGGGGTGGAATTAAATGCTTTTAACTCTCTTAACCAGCTTTTCTGACTCTAACATCTCCTTCCTCTTATTAGTGCAAAACAACTTGAATAATTTAATCTTCTAATCCACCAACAGCTCATGTTTCCTTAAAGCCCTCCCCAAATTGTCCAACTTTACCCCCACTGAGATAATGGATGTGAAAATGCTTTTTCAAGTGCATTCATTTCAATTCACAAACACTGATTGGATGTTATGCTCACACTATTCTAGTCATTGCACAAGGAGTATGAAATATAAGGTTGTGCCAAAGAGACATTGTTCCTGCCTTTCTGGGACTTAAAATTCAGAGCAAGGCACTGATTACTGGACAAGAATAAGAAATTGCAAAATGATACAGAAAAGGTTATGGCATGGGAAAGGTAGAATGCTAAAAGACCACAGAGGAAGTCTACATAACTCAGATTCCTAGGTTTACAGGCACTTCTTAAAAGTGGAGTACAAAATCATAACTAAAAAAGGAATAAAAATATAAACATCTAGACAGGGACTATGGCATGAGCATGTGAATGTGTAGAGAGAAAACCCATGTCATGTTTAAGAACTGAAAAAAAATTCAATCTAACCTGAGTCAGAAAAACATAGTAACAAAGCTGAAGGAAGAGGCCAAGAATTCAACAAGGACTGGGGGTGGTAGAACCAGTATAGCAGAGGACAGGAGACAAGTGTGAGAAACGGAGACCAGCAGGAGGAAGTTCAGCAGTCCAGACGGCAGAGACACCAGGACTGGATAAGGACAGGGACAGTCCTGAAGTGTCATTAGGAAATGAAATTAATAATTAACTGGTTAACTGGATAAAGAACAAATAAGGAGGATGCCTATGGAGGCGATTCAGAATGGGGTAGACTGTGATACTAATCATGGGATTTAGGGCAAAGGATGGATTAAATGCAAGAATAGTGGTGAGAATTCAAATCTTTGGACAGATTAAATTTGAAGGGCTGCAGGCATCCAGTAGGCTGCTACACTGCGCTGGATCTCAGGAGAGAAGTGTGGGCTGGGTTTGGGTTCTGAAGTTGGCTGTGTATGATTGAAGAAATGGATATAGTTAGAGGAGGGCAGTGCGTGTAGGGGGATGGACAGAGCGAGATAGGTGGAGTGTGAAGAACAAAGCCAAGGTCAGTATAATGCAGAGGAAGAAGCACATCAGAAGGACAGAATTATAAATTACGTCAAAACAGAGATACGTAAAGTGAAGACTGAGCCCAAGAGCACTTCAGATTTTCAGTTAGGGACGGTTGGTATATAGGGCAGTAGTTTAGATTATAGAAAGCAGAAATGACAACAGGGACAAAATTCCTAAAATGTTACAGATAATTAATCCTATCATGGCCAGGTTCACTAACTATGCTTTAGTTAGGACAGGAGACAAGTGTAAGAATTATTTTCTGACCTCCCAGAGGCTGTGCTGCCCACTCTACCACTCTCAGAACATCTTGACCTCTCTTTTCTAAGCTCCATGCCGATTCCTTCTCAGTTATCACGCTGATGTTTAAATGACAGTGTTTTCTGAGTAACACTCATGATCTAGGACAACGTAAGGTGGCTGCATCGGCATGCTAATCAGGTCAATACTTCCTGTGTCCAAAAGTGTTCTTAGATTAAAAACAAGTCAGCTACAGTATGCGATGTATTCAGTGACACAGTTAATTATTATACCCTGTAGCAAATCGCTTCTGCTATGTTGGTCTAGTGATAAACAACTGGACAGACCTTCACTAGATGGACCATATTTTGTTTTAGGCACTAGGGCCTCCCCTAGTCCTCCTAGCTCATCATAGCTCTCAGTGGCTTGACTTCCCTCTTAGAGGGACATCATGATAACCTTCAGATGATAAATCTAAAGCTTTACCTCCTGATTGGCTGAACTGAGTATCCAACTGTTTGCAAGATCACTTCAGTACCTTAAGTAAGTTCTTAAGTTCTTAAGTATTAGACACAACACTTAACTTTGAGGCAGAATGAATCCTCTTTCATTATTAAAAAAATTGATTAATGGCTCCATCAAATCACGGCTAAGTGATGTGGTTTTCAGTCCTCAGTACTTTTGGTCTAAGTTCAAACTTTTATCATCTCTTGCCTCAGTACCTACAATTAGGCTATCTACAAGATTTCTACCACAAACAAGCTTTTCAACTATCTTTATACCACCATCACAGAGATTTTAAAAACCCATTCATGCCAAAAGCTTCCAGTATAAAACAGGAAGGGCAGTCTAGAGTTTACAACACTGAGTTATGGGCTCAATTGCTTCATTTTGTATGCTGATCTCACTACTCAGTAGTATGACATTGCTGGTTATTTAATGCTTTGAATGACTCAGTTTTACCATCTGTAAAATGGGAATAAATAGAATGAAAAAAAGATGAAGCTAGTATATGTGTCAAGGTGGTTACAGTTGTATGTAGCACTATCATTTTATGACGTTA